GAGGAAGTGGGGGCGAGTTTAGTCCGACGACGGAGGGACATGAGGGCCAAAAAGAGCAGAGATTCAAGTGGAAAAATGGCCCGAGCGTTCTCGCACACCTCGCTCTTCCAGCGGGTCAAACTTCACGAGTTGTTTTCTGCAATTTCGATCATGAAAACAAAACAAGCAGACCTCCTGTCTGCCGTCAGCTACAATTTGGGAGAGGTGCAGCGGAGCGTCTGTGGAGGGGGCGGGACGTCTGGAGCTGAGGTATTGCATCGCACTCATTGCACTGATTTTGTGCAGTAGTTTCTGATGCAAGGCCTTTCAGAATCTATAACGCAGGGGTGTTATTATTTTTCGGTGAATTAGGTTTTAATAGGAATAGATGAAGTGCAACTTCTCTACTTCTGTTATTTTCTGTAGTTTCTCAAAAAAAAAAGCATAACGATATTAGAGCTTTCATTGATTTATTTCTAAATTTGAAACAATGTCTAGCCTGTAAGGTGTAAAAAAAACCCAAAAACAAATGAATCAATTAATCCAATCTAATCGAATCGTATCGTGGTGTATTATTGAGTATCGAAAATAATCGAATCGTTGGGTCAGGAAATCGATACTGAATCGAATCGCCATGATGGATGTAATTTCCACCCCTAGTAACAACCAAGATGCACCTGGCAGTCCTGGCTACATTTTCTCCCCTGTTGGTTTGCAGACTCTGTTGTAGTATTTGTAGACTGTTTTTCAGTTCATTATTGTTCAACTTGTTGTCTATGTAATGATCAAGTTCCACCTTTAGCAGTGATTTTCAGTTACACTTTCTGATTGTTGTACCTAAAAATGATCTCATGTCTACCTTATGAAATATCCACCTCTACTCAAGCCCAAATACTTCCCATAATCAGGCCAAAAGTAGTTTTGGAATAAAGACAAAAAGCTAGCCGCATTCCACCTTAAAATTTCTGGGTGAGGATACCCCCGTACCCCCCTACAATGCTTGCGCCTAAAGCTGTGATACACCAAGGTGAACACCCTGGGACATTTTCTTAGCTAAAAGCTCGCCAACGAGTAACAGTTCCAGTATTAAAACATACTTTTAATTAATATCTTTTCAAATATTTCACGTCTCATTATGTGATAAATTTATCATCAATCTTTGTGTTAATCAAGTGTTAATCATACAAAACGTCTTAATTTAGGCAAGTTTTAATAGTATACCGGTATACTGTAAGACAATTTTTTAAGTCTTATATCTGATTAATAATTATCAATTTTTAACTTAATGAGTGTATAAATGGATGAAAGCATAGAGGATTAGATTTCAAGTTAATGAAAAGGTTTGTAAGTTTGCATTTAAATGATTACTTTTAGCTGAGGAGTTAGTAAAGTTGCCCAATAATGTAAAGAATTAGCAATCCATCCCCATAACAGGAAGAGAAAACCTAGAAAACCTCCCTAGAAGTCATTGTCCATCAGTCTACTTGTGCAAGAGCTTGTTAAAACAGCCATTGTGTTTATTAGTTAGAAAAATTCTTTATTTAGAAGCAGCTTTGAAAAGAAACCTCTGCTTAATGATGTGCAAATAACAGATAAATGACTCAACACAAACATCCTGGCTTGAACTGGAAGAATTTGGGCTGTTTTAATCAAAAAAGGGAAAAACCAGAATGCAGACTGTTTTCTCTCCACTTTCCACTCACCTGAATGGGACTATGTGAACTAAAGAAGCAGTTTTGAATTATAAAGATACCTCAGGTTGTGTGTTAAACATCCCTCAGTGCTTCATCAGCCTGTGGACAGAGGGGACGGCCCCCGCTGTCTTTTTAATGATTAACAGATCAGTTTAGAATCTTCTACTTTTATTGGAATCAACAACACGGATTTCATTAAGCAGGTGCAGCAGTAAAAATATAGGTTCATAAACTGGAAGCCAATAAAACTCACTCATCAAACTTAATAAGCTTAAATGTTTCGAGTCATTTCAGGTGTTTCTTTCCGTGGGTTGTGTGAACCAGCCTGCTGCTGCTGCCTCTTTCTGGGTTTTAGCAAAGAACGGCTCATTAACATGACTTCAAAGTGCTTGTTTGGGTTAAACTGACAGACCCTCCTGACTTTAGGATGCAGAGAGACATTTAAACATGACTAACACCATGGTGGGTGCCAGGATCTGACATGGTGCAGAAGCAGCTTAAACTGGATTTTTT